AACTGAACATTCAGCATGAAAGTCGCGGTTTCACAGTTCACTCCACATAATCCAATATGTGCAACCAGGTGACATCACATTGACCCTCACATACATACAGTGGCCTAAATCTGAGTTCTTAAACTTCAGTTTAGTAAATAAGTTGTATGATACATTTTTTTAATCGTATAGAATTGTGTCTCTATTCACACCACTAATTATCTAAAGTTGGAAATTTTGGTTGGTAAATTTCAAATAATTCCTCAGGGTTCTTCATCACAAGGTTGAGTTATGCTGTTCAAACTGTGATATGCCTGAATAGTGTCTAGTTCTCTTGGTAATCAATGTAAAATAACTCTTTTGAAGGGTATGTTTGTAATTATAACTAAATTTAATTAAACTCTTTACAATACCTGAAAGTTATAAGCCCATATTAAATAAAAGTTTAAGACTAGGATAAAACAGCTATTCAGTAGGTTATCCGATTGATCATTAAAAAACTACCTACATTATTCATTTCTTAGCAGTTGTATCAAAAATTTTTAGTTTATTCCGCTTATTTCAATCTGAAAAGTTCATGCAATTTATATTTGATCCATTACTTGGTCTCATGCATATTTTCATTTTAGATTTTGTAAAAATATGTTACATATATATGGATATACATATATGCTTGTTTCATTGCATCCAAGGGACAAATAGACAAACAAACACAAAGCCAAATATTGACAATCATTAACATTAATAATAATATCAACGATAATAATGGCGTACAAATTCTTTAAATTGGTCAATAAATAGGTGATTGTTTCTTTTCTTAATTGAATTTTACTCCTGATTAGAACGTAAAATAATAATTTTTCTTAACAACAAAAAAACTATGGAAAGAAGATAACAGATAAGCGAACAAGCAAACCTAAAATTACATCCGAACATTGTGAATAAGTGAAATTTAATCTGTTTCTATACTGGTCTTAATTAAAGACAATCTAAGCAGGATAACAGTGAATATGTCGGCTCCTGTTATGAGATATCACGAATTATATATATAGTACATATGTTTATTATACTATCTATATTAACCTCCTTCTCTTTTTACGATACAGATAAAGGTGTATTTTTTATTTTATTCTATTTCTAAGCAGGTGATTCATCACGAAAACATTTTACAGTGAGGTAAAGAAATAAAATAGTGAAAGAAATATGGAAAAAAAATCTTCCACACGGTATGGACGCAAAATAAAAGGAACTATCCTTTTTATTTCTAAGAAATGAATAATTCTATGAATGTACTACCAGTTGAAAGTTATTTATGCATTGATATATCGAGATACGTATAATCTATTTCAATAAATATTCCGAATTGTAGTTCAACAGTAAAAATGAACTTGATTTTTAACTATTGGGTTGTAAATTCGACCTCTGTTTCATCTTTGTCGGATTCGGTATTTAGATAGTAGCAGTAGTAGTAGTTTCTTTAACCATACCGCATTAATCTAAGGTTTAAAGAGTAGGTATACGAAACTTGTGCATGATAAAATGAATTAAACATAATGAATTATTTTGAAAAAAAATAGCTGTTCAGTACTCGCTAATCTTTCATATTTCTCCAGATGATATTGGTTAATGGTAAAAATTTTGTAGAAAATACATGAATAGCTATGTATATGCTAACAATTTTTGGAGAAATAAAACCAGGGTAATTTAGTTTTCATATGGGTTTTTTTGGATAACAAACTAAGGAATTAAAGAACATTCAGAGGAGCCCCAGATAAGGTTTCATCCTAAATTGAATTTTCAAGAACTATTCATTTAAAATGTTATGCAGGATTGAATTTAGTACTCTATGTGTCGTAGTTCAATGATCTAAGTGATTAAACTCAAGAGCTGAAAGTACGTGTACACAACTTATTAGGCTTATAAAGCCAAAAAATAGAATAACTATCCAGTGCTGCTTGATTCGCAATATGGTCCAAATGATTTTGCAACAGAGACAGAATTGAAATAAAAAGATGAAAAATATTTCAATTTTAAATCATCAACTACAACAAAGCAATAAATATGAGTTAACTAATCACTAAATTTAAAAAATTTTACCGAAACAAGTACTTTTAGAAAGATGAAATAAGTTTCTTCTTGGAAAAGAAAAAGAATTAATTGCTCATTATTTTAATTGAAAAATTGAATGAAGTTTTCCATTTGTTTATCTCTTTAAGCTTTCATAGTAATTTATCGATAGTATTTATGATTTTAATTTTAACTACTATCACTACTACCAAACATAATGTTATGCTAGTATTGTAAATCATTCATTTAAATAAGCGCCACTATCATCCTCCACCTTATTGAAATACATTGTTTCATTGAAGTAAAAAAGAAAAAGGAATTCAAAATTATTATTATTATTATTAACCTTATATTTATATAAAATCAAAACTCGGATTTCTAAAGATTAGTTACCATTCTCTTTCTTATATTGTTTGTTTTTTGTATGTATGTATGTGTATGTATTTTAAAACCATTTTTAGTCTGAATAAAGAAAATAATTTTTTTCTTTTTTTCTTTTTCCATGTGTTTTTATTTCAATCTTATTGCTTAACCATAAATCTTGTCGGTTAAATTCTAGTAGCTTCTTTGATTTTGTCTATATAGTTAGATTTATATACACATACATATATCATCTTTATTGTCTTTATATATATATATATATATATATATATATATATATATATATATATATACTTTGTTTTACTGTTCTAGCATAAGCTCAATTTTTCAATCTTCACATTATTATTTATTTGAAATAATTTTGGCATAATATTCAAAGAATCCCCTTTTTCCATAGTAAATGATTATTTTTGATTTTATTATAGTATTTTTTAAAATATTTTTGTTGCAATAAGATTCATGAATAAATTTATAAGCACATAACAACACTGTATCTACATGTGTTTTTTTGTTTAGAGACACAGAGATAACACACCACCCACACACACACACACACACCAATCTAAGTTCAGATATATAGAGATATACATGAATTTATGACTTCATTTTGTCCAAATACACTTTGTTAAATGAATTTTTAAGTAACTAGCGTACAACAATATACTGAATTAATAATCATATAATTCATCCACATATACAAATGTACATTCATATTACAGACATATACATATAGAACTATTCATTCATTCATTTATTCTACATAGAAATAGATATAAAACGTCTATCCATTGATGTATAAAAATGCACTTAAATGTGAAATATATTACGATGACTGTTATTATTATTATTGTTTAACAAAAAGGAAATGGTTCCGGCTACACGGTCATTTGATGATTTATTTGATGGCGCATTAAGTGTGTATGTGAAACTTCAAAGATTATTCCCGACAAAACGATAATAATAATAAAAACAACATCACTAACCGTAACAAGAATAAAAGGTAGAAAAAAAAATAAACGAAATGAAAAACTATAACAATTTCAAATAACGTAAAAGTGTGTAAATAACCAACAGTTGACTAAAATGTAGAAAATAGGTAGAACATAAATTACATACATATTCATGGTATATACATATATATATAGACTAAATTTATATGCGTTTTGTACACATAATTTAGAAGGAAATAATGGTCAATAATAAGCTGATATTAACGTTATTCATAATTATTATGGCATGAACATGACTGCACGGTAAAGTAGCCATCACACAATGAGAGGTAAAGAAAAAGTATTTTACAAAGAGTTCCTCTTTTTTCATCAACTTACATCAAAGGTCATTGCTGTTTTCCCTTTGTTATTTTGCTGTTGTTATTATTCGTGTTTTCTACTGTGTGTACACTCACCAGTTATAATTATTCTTCCTCTCTCTCTCTCTCTCTCTCTCAAAGTACTTCCTTACATTAGTATAATGATTTACTTCAAAGAACTTTCGAAAAGCCGAAAATTTCTTTTTATGTTAAAAGCTGTGAAAAAAATCTGTATGTAATTATATATAGATAGGAATGTCCGACAAAATTCAAAGAAATTGTATTGGTGGTCGGACTCAGACCAATGACTTATGAATTATTGATTTGACATTGATTTCATGCTGAAAAAGTTTCTCCCTCTAGTCGCGTATATATATATATATATATGCATATATTGTGGAAAGTTATTCTTAGTTTTATCCCTATTGAAAACTATAGAGATGACATATAATTGAGTTAATTAATCATTAGAATTGATTAAACGAGAAGCATATTTAATCGAGACGAAAGAGAGTTTTAATGAAGATATTTTACATTATGAACTCAAATCGCTTACCGAATATTACAAAACCAAGAACCATTGGCACAACTATTTTGTTCTGACTTAAGAATAATTAAGAATAAGAAGTCATGATCATGTGGACTGTTAAATATAAGAGTTTTGAGTTTTGCAGTAATATGATTCTATGACTACCGATAGATTCACCAGAAATCCACAGTTTATTAATACTCAACTATACTAAGATATAATTTATAATGCAAAATAATTATTCATAAATTGTTATTTGGCTTCTATGGATTATATTCAGTAGAATAATACAGATATTGAATAAAAAATCTTCTAATGAGAAGCTGCGACCAATGGAGCTCAGTGCGTGTCCGGTAGAGGCAGGTATCTACCTTAGACAATGAATGAATGTCTTCGCAAGATCATGGATCTTGCGTCCTCGTGAGAAACCCAAAGTCCTGGGTTCGAGTCTCGCATGTGGGATTGTGGATATTGACTACTGAGGAGTCCCATAATAGAACGAAACGGCCTTCCAGTATTTCCAGGTTTTTAACGGTGGTCTAGCTTACATCGACTCATGAATTCAACTGCTGAAATTTTTCCCGTTAAAACAGTTAAATGAAATAAATCGTAATTAATGTACTATTTAACATTGGTTTTATTATTAACTTCATACTGAAATAGGAAAATAATAAATAATTTCTACATGAATTATTATGTTATAAATTTTATATTAGATTATTATTAGTATCTTACCGAAATACATTGACAATTCATGTGTACAGTTGGGATTATTTAATGGACAACAAAGAGTATCTGATGTTGGTGAACAATGTTTTACTAAAACTTGATCTTTTCCACATGATTGACAAGGTATACACTTTACATTATCAATACTTTGTGCAGACCAGAAACCAGCCGGACATGATTGACATTGTGTATCGGAATTCCAACCACATGCCCTTAAAGAAATGATCGTAATAATAATAAGAAACTATTTAAGTGAAGATTGTCAAAATTGAATCTTACTATGTAATTGGGAAAATAAATCAAATGGAATCATTTTAGTAAAATATAGATCTAAAACAAAATTAGTGAAGTTATTTGCAGAGTCAAGCTTAATTAATTAGCGTTTTAATATCATCATTCAGCCAAAACCTATTACAGTAGTAAAAAAAACAAGTTTAACAGCAAAATTCACTGGAAAGTGCTCACTTCAACGAATTCGCACGCATCAATTAAGTTAATTCAGCTCTATTAACTGAAATATCTCGAGATTATGTAATCAGTAAGTTTAATTAGACAACTCGTCAAACTTGTATTTCTAAGGGATGATTATAGTGTTCAATTCTCTAAACTTTAATTATTCTGTTAGACAACATCATCACAATACATTTAATATAAGAATAAGCTGTTAGAATTTATCCATAAATGACTAACAGATTATTTTGCCAACATTGGCTTTACTACTACTTGTTACACGATTAGTCACATATTTATTTTAATTGTCTTTTTGTTTAACCTCATAAATTCAATTTATTTCAGTTGTTTTTGATTGAGATTAAGAGTCGATCAGTATTAGATGATCACTGAAAATCTGGAAGCACTGGATGACCGTTTCATCCTAGTGATTAAACCTTTATCACTTCAGAAATTATATCATATCCTTTATTATTAAAATGATTAATATAACCATTCATAGTTGAAGTTGAAAGGATACACAATGATCACATGAAAAGGCCTTATTCTTTCTTCATCTGATCACTTCTCTACCAAATTATCTATATGGTTTAAATGGTTTTATTATTTGTATAAAGATACTCAATTGAAGAAATTTATTAATATAGAAATTCCAATTAAACCAATCGAGTTATTTTTATAATTTAATCATTCATATTGTGTTCTACATAAATAAACCATGTGGAATACTTTACAAATCAGTTACCATATGAACTATTCTCTGTTTTTAAATAAGAACTTTCGTCTAAATTTGAACGAATAGTTTCACAATATTTGGGCGCCGAGTTAATTTGAGACATTAAAAAGAAGAATATATTTGTAAAATCTCTCTGTTTTTATTTAAATTAAATTAAATTGAACGAAAATTATGTTTAAAAAGTGATTTAATTTAAAGGAGTTTAAATTCATTCATGTAAATGTCAAGTTCAAGTTTAAATCTTTCAGATTGTATGATTTAATGATAAAATATTCATAGGTCTAGTTGCTTAGGCACTCTCTCTTAAAACTAATATGTATATATAAAGAGAGGAAGAATGTATTTGTAAAACCTCAGAGAACGAATTTGAAGTAAATCTACCGTATCGTCTGGTAATCTAGTCCAAGCATTTTCAAGAAAATATAATCAAACATCAAAATTATCGAATATGTTTGATTATATTTTCTTGAAAAAGCTTGAACTAGATTACCAGACGATACATTAGACTTACTTCAAATTCATTCTCTGAGATTTTACAAATACATTCTTCCTCTTTAATGTCTCACATCAATTCGGCGCCAAAATAAGGTGAAACTATTCCACCAGATTTAGACAAAAGTTCTTATTAAATATATATATATGCTTGTATTCATTTTCGTAATTCATTTTGAATAACTTTCAACGATAAAAGTCTTCATTTCTATGCAATTCCCATGATTTCATATTCACATTAGAATGAACTTGAATTACTGTTTTTATTTTAAAAAAATAATAAAAATAACTTCATAGCACCTACTGATATCATTACAGCTGTTCATGAAATTCCTACTTTACATAACCATTTGTGTTTGGATAATTTACACATGTACATGTATAGGTATATTAGATAGAAATAAAAAAAATTGAACTATGCATACATAAAAGGCATATAATGTAGTAATGCTATTTAGGTTATTAAAGCCGAAAGTGTATTTTGCGTAAAACAAAACACTTCACATTTATTCACACATCACTATATTTGTAGATAATAATAATAATATCAATAAGTAGCGTAACACGTAAAACTTTTTATATACGAAAAAGTAAGTGATTTCTATCAAGATCAAAGAAACATTAATGTTTGTAAGTGTTTATATATATACCGAAGCAGATGAATACTAAAATACGAGACATTAAATATAACGTTTTTTGTCTTTTATGTGAATAAGTAATGGTCATTAACAGTGAATTTCTGATTTCTACATGTCATGTATAGATTTTTATGTGAAAACATCTATACAATGAGCTAATAGCGAATCTTGATGATTTTTTTTATTTTAACAAATTTATACTACTAGATAATTAATAAGTAGGATAACATTATGAACCTAAACTTACTGTACTATACCTTCACCAGGTTTACAAACAGTGCATGGTTTGCATGTTTGTTCTTTTTCTGACATATAGTATGGTTTTTCACATTGACATATTGTGTCTGTTACGGGAGTGCATTCATTACGTGTTTTCGCCAATGGATGAATCTAAAAATAGAATATAAAAAAGTAAAACATAAATTCTTGATATTCATCATAATAAAATAATCGTAGACTTATAGTCGAGGATGACTAAGTTATTATTGTTTGTTCATATACTCCTTAATTTATGTATTCCATAGGAACCTTCACATATATACACCTATAACTCGGATTGGTATGCTGTACACATAAAGTGAGAGTAAAAGCTTATACGAAGTTGATAAACTTTATAGAATAGAACTTTTCAGTAATGTTGTGAATATAAAACACTCTACTGAGAATTGAAATTTTAATACAATAAGAAATACTTAAACAAAAGAGTATCTATGATTAATAATCTTATTATCTATTCACTAACCTCTTCACAACGTCGACAGTGCAAACATTTTTTTGTTGCACTTCTAAAAGGCGAAAATTCAAAACCTGGTTTACATGGTCGGCATTGTGTATCTTCTGCATTTGAGCATAAACGTAACATACCATTGCCGGGTTCACATTTACGACAACAACGTGGTATACCACGTACAGGAGATACAAATTCTTTTAATGGGTCGTCACAAGTTTCCTGAAATAAATAATACACAGATTTTAAATTTAATTACTACTGTCATGATAAATTGGAAAATAGTTGTACGTTATTTGGTAAAAGCTTTTTTGAGAGGAAATAATACTTGTGAAAGTAAACACTGAATGAATCTTAATCGACAGCAAATTTTCTAGTGTACTTAAACCGATTAGTTTTGATTGGGTTATAGAAATTTCATTTAGATGATCATAAAATATTAAAATTAAATGAAACTGTAAACTTAAAATTTCAATTGCAAGTAGATGGGTTAAATGAACAATATTTGTCATGGCCTCAGAAATTTTTATGTTCTTCTCTGTTTAGGATCATTATTGACAAGTCTCAAGCTAGCGTAATATGTAGCGTGTCAAGTATTCTCTGGTTTCAGTAATTCACCATTTGATTTCACCGTATGATACGAATTAGAATTTGATATGAAAACGCTTTACAGATACCCGATCTTCTAAAGCGATTATTATCACACGAATCTACTGTGAACTCCCAAACCCTAGAATTCAATCAATTTTTCACATTAAACTAGAAAATTTAGTAATGTTTAGGTTTTAAAAATGTTGAATTGAATAAATAATGTTCCAATGAAAATTACTCATGAATATTATTTAATGCTTACTAAATTAATGTATAAACTTTAAACTCAATTTTGAAAAAATCATTTTCTTTATCTTTAACTAGGCATATTGGTAAATTTAGAGGCTAATCATATTGCTAAGATGTTTCCACAAAATTCATATAAACGAGCCTTCATAATGTTGTTTCTATTACGCGATAGTTACTAAGTGCTGGTGGCGTAAAGATTTTCCACCCCAGATATAGAAAGTTTGTAACATGCGGTATAAAAGAAAAATTGAAATAAAGACAGTGGCATAAGTAACTTCGCATACATCTCTTTGCTATCATAGGCCAGTAGAATTTTTTTTAACATTTTGGCTAGTTACAAGTTATAAGTAGACAAAAATAAATTCTATAACTTTGCAGCCTACTTTGACAAATAACTTTCGTTTATTATAAATCAAAACACTAAATTTCATTATCTTTAAATAGGTAAGTAATAGCATAGGAATGACTAAACTTTTATTCATTGATGTAATAAAAGTGGATATATATTAAATTATATGGTTAAGTAACTTATTACAAACAATTATGTACAAGTTTGTGATTTACAGTTGGGTAGAAGTAATTTGTAACTCATTCACAATGACAAATGAAGTTTTATGAGTTTTATCAGACAAATCTTAGTATTAGGCGAGTCAGAACAGGATAAATACATGAAAACTATTGTTTTTTCAGTAGATTATCTTCAATCTTTAAATTGATTTAAATATTAAAATTACCTATATTAGGATTAGTAAAATACAACGAAAAATTATTTAATGTAGTTGTTTGATCATAAAATACAAAACTAATTGTTTGAAACGACCATTTATTACTGTTGAATTATTAACATAACTCTCGTCGGTATAGAAGAAGTGATTTTAGCAAGAGTAAACATAAAAGAAAAACAACTGGAATAGGACAATACAATGTTCAATTGTTTTGATGTGGTAAAATGATAAAAAAGTTTATTGAATTTGCATTAATCCCTTTATAATTTTTGGATGTGCCAACTGATGTACCTAGTTAATCTTGATCAAACAAGTTTGCACATCTTCATACAACTTAAGTTATTGGATATTACAGTATAACATGCCTTTTTTTCTATATATTAACATGTTCTGATAACAACGAATTTGAAAACTAAGTATGAAGTGACTAGTCTAATATGTATATTAATTGACATATACTCATAACCTCAACACATTTTATCATCTATTACTAACTTTAAATGAACACTAATTAACCAACGAATTACTGACTTGTATTATATATCAGAGATACATAGTATTTCTGTGTAGCTTCCATACGATATATATATATATATATATATATATATATATATATATATATTACGTAATACAGAAGATGATACGAAAATATATATTCAATTAAAAGTACAAATTATTTCCTGAAATTTAGTTACTAACTGAATATTATTCATTTTCTATGTTAATAATATGGAGATTTTAATAAAAGTAATATAATAATATAATTAATTACAAATGTTTTGTTAAGTAATTTATAATTTAATACACAGTAATACAATTACTAGCTAGCTACGTATATAACTGAATAGGCAATGAACTTAATCACTGAAATCATTCTGCTTTTGTATTGTTCTTTTGAGTCATTGGTTAAGAGAGTTAGCATTAATGATTTGATTATGAATAATACTATTAATTATAATGACAGTCATAGAAATTATATTCATACAAGTAAGTATAAATATTGAGATAGTGTAGGTTGATTATTTTTTTTTATAGAAAAAAAACTAGGGGTTGAAAGGTAATTGTTTCAGGAGGGAAGACTATAGGCTTTGAATAATTTGTCGGCAAATCTCTTTGATTATTTTCTCATCTTTAGTTTAATTCATGAAAAACAGTATGTTTTGATCAGTATATACATTTTTTTAAACTAATACTATAATTACTACTATAGATGATTGGTAAGTAGTGGTAGGAATAGTTTATTTCTCTGATGAATTCTTAATCAACCCCTTTTAAGGTTGACTTTAATCTAAATGAACTAACTACTACCGGATATATATGAATTGTTTGTTGCTTTAAATGAATTTTTTGCAGTAATTCAAGTCTTATTGTACTATTATTATTATTGTAGATGTGTTGTTATTTTATTCTTTTTTTGGGGGGGGGAGACTATTTAATATTTTGTCTATTAATAAAAGTACATAAATATGCCTATGATAAGGAAATAACTTTTTAATAAAATATATATAGAGAGAATGATAAATTTTTTTTATTTGTACTTTTATATAAAGCTAGTTCCTGTCGTGACATAATGATTACGAATAGTATTGAATGATTTTTGCACTATGCCATGATTTGATCATAATTCCATGCTTAGAAGGCTCACGCTACATGATCAAAAGGCTTTGGATTTGAGACCTAGTATGGTTGTGGATACGCACTGATGAGAAGTTGCATACCAAGATGAAGCAGATATCTGTAGGGTCATTAGTTTAAAATGGTATCTTAATCGATATAAAGCAAGTTACATATGAAAGTAACCTCAAATATGACTTTCAACACAAAGAATAATGAGAGTAATTAAGAATATACTGACAGTAATTTAATTCTGAGATGTGTGTTATATCAAACTGTTATTTGTTATGAATAAGGACATCGTAAACTAGATGTAAGATTTTCCTCAAAAAAGAAATATATGAAAGACTAATATTTCTTATTAGATATTTAATAGATTTTAACTATAAGTGTTACAACATCAATAGTTATATCTTAAGTAATTTAAGACATAATGTTATGCTTTCATTTGAATGCCTAAATATCATTATTACTAATGATCTCATATACAGTTATTTAATATCATCTGTTTCCTAATTACTAGCCATCATAATTTATCTTAACAACAGGTGTTAAGACCGTCAGTGAACTCTTAGTTCTATTCTAGTTTAACAATAAAACCAAATTAATATGTAAATTATGAGAAAATCATTGAATTTCATTATATATTATATAATCAGAATAATAATGGAAACTTTCTATTTAAATTATTCATATTTAATATTACATTAATATTATAAATGATTTCATATAGACTCATTTGTTTCTGTATATTTTCTAGATAGATTGTTAGATATTGGGATTAAACAGTATATCATATACTTTGTTGATCATTCGATCGTAATCAATATTATATCTAGGCTATAGAGTTGGTTGAAATATATCGATGAAGTGATCATATGATCATTAGATCCTGATAACTGTCTCTAGACACTAAATAATCAATATGTTGTTTCTATTTACTTAACTATTTATTAAAAAACAATAATTATATTCTATAAAAGATAAAAAACGATTCATTGACGGTAAATAGAATAAACACTAAAAAAGAAGGATGTTATATGTTGCTAAGTATTCATTGTATACAAATTGATTGATTGTTTATCTATTACTATTGTATCTGTCTATCTACATTCAATCCAATGAGAATAACTTTAAATCCATTATTCATTTAATAGATATTTCATAGAATATTTAACAACTTAAAACAATAAAATGCAACTAATAGTTAGATTAGATGAATAATTGAATTATTAATGAAATCATTCTATTTTATCTTTTAATTTGGCAATTATTTAATTTATTTAAAAATAATACTTATTATTGGTTAAACAAAACGAATTTTTCAGAAGAGATTTTGTGAAGATTTTAGTAATTTCATTAGTTGAAATCATGAGACAATTGATGTTAGATCACCACGGAAAATCTGAAAGCACTGGATGGTCGTTTCGTCCCAGTATGAGAATCTGGTACGTGATCGTGGATGCGCACTGCTGAGAAGTGCCATAATGGGACGAAATGGCCGTCCATTGCTTCCAGATTTTTCATGGTGGTCTAGCTTCAATTGACTCATGATTTCATCTATTGAAATGAACAAATTTCTGACAAATAATAATAATAATGTTTTAAATTTAGTTGGTATTGTTTTAGCTTTGTAAGCAATAATAAAGTTATTTAGAATAGTATTAAAGATCTTAGACGGATATTTTACATTTCGACTGTAGTACAAAGTAATGAAAGATAATGACAGTAATTGAATTACTGTTTTTTTTGTTTTAATTTTTAGATTTAATAAATTCTGTACAATCAATAATCAAAAATGGTAATTTTTTTAAAAATTACAGAAAATTATTTATAAAATTAGGTAAATACGAGAAGAAAAAACAAGAAAGGGGGGCAGAAGAATCTTTTTCTCGATCAGATTATCATGTTCATTATGGGTTTTTTCCTTGTTGTTGTTGTTAAGAACACCTGTAAACAATTATCCTAAATTAAAATGATAAACTATTTATTATAATATTGACTATGTTAAATAGTCAATAGATAAATGAAACAAAAAAAAGA